TTCGTTCTAAGAATTCTTTTTCCGAGAATTTTTTTTCGAGAAATTATTATTCTTTTCCGAAAAATTATTTTTCCGAGGAATTTGGTTTCCGAGAATTTTTTTTTTACCTTATCGTTAAATGTCTGCATTCTGACAAATTCGATTCTTTTTCCGCAAATGTCCCTCTACACTTTCACTGCGTAGGTTTGCAAATTCCGTTCTTTTTTTTTTCGAAAAAAAAAAAAAAAAAGCATTTTTTTCTTTCTGCAACCTACTCCTACTCTGAGTTGTAAAGATACTTCTTTTCTGATACTCTGCAGTTGAGCACCGAAGGTTCACATTTGCTTTCTGCATCACCTTCGGTACTCAGTGGGATTGGACAGTCTTTTTCAAATTTTGATTTATTTAAATTATTTCTTAATAAAAAATTATTATTTTTTTCTTCTTTTTGATTAGGGAACTGTTCAATTTGGGATCTGTCCGATCCTTCCCACCTGACTACTGCCTACCTATTCTTTCCCCTCCAGTCCGAATACTGGGCCAGTCTATCTGATTGGCCCATAGGTGACTCTTCAGCGCAGTGTATGCCACGACTCACTCGATTACAGACCAAGACCATGGACCGGAAGGAGGGAGAATCCCTCCTGGCCTATGAGGAACGCCTGGCTGCTTTCATCCAGGAGGCCAACAACAGGGCTGCCGCTGCGGCCAAGGAACGTGGTCGGATTGAGCAAGAAGAAGAGGCCAAGCGACAGAAGGAAGAACAGGACCGACCTCGTCAAGAGGAGGCAGACCTGCAGGCGACAGCCGAACACCGGTCACGCCAGCGGGAACGACTGTTCACGCGGGAGACCGTGATCGGCGATGAGGCCGCAAATTGGGTGCAAGTGGCATCTACAGACGAGGCCCCGGAGACTGAGAAAGGGTTGTCAGCCCTTGCGCAGGTCTCCCACGACCTCGTGGCCACCTGCGTTCTGCAACAGGAGGAAATCCTTCACCTGCAGCAGACAGTGGACCAGATGCTCGCACGACTGCAGGCGTTGGAAAAACAGCCAGCTGCTGTAGCAGCCGCAGGGCCTTCAAACCTTGCCACCCGTGTTGAAGTTTTGGAGGACGACGTCAGCAATATCAAGCGTGTGCATCAGGACTTCAGGACGTCGCAGCAAGCAACGAACTTGCAGTTAGAGACGCAGGTCCAGGCTGCTGCCACCGTGACGCCCGCCGCCGCATCCTCCAGGCGCCCACCCAAGCTAGAAGACATTCCAGTTTTCTGCGATCAGTCCAAGACGGAACCGATCCCGTGGTGGCGCCAGTTTACTCTCAGGCTCGACATGCACCATGTCCCGAACAACGATCGACATCCGTGCTTGTACCATCGATCTGATGGTGCGTGTCAAGCATGGCTGGACAACATCTTGACCAGCCACGGCGTAGCAGTGTTGGAACTGCACACCAAGCTCACTTGGCAGGAGTTGACTGACGCCTGGCACAAGCGATTCCAAGTGGAGCCGCCCGACCTGCAAGCGATGGACAAGCTCAACAAGCTCCATCAAAACACGATGCTCAGTCAGGACTGGATTACCGAGTTCCAAAGACTCGCCTCCACACCTGACCTGCCGCTCGCATTCCTCGCCATTAAGCACTTGTTTATCATGCGCTCGTGTCCAGCTCTGCAAAACGTGCTGACACAGATTGCAGAGACACTCGACACATCTGAAAAGCTTTTCAGCACAGCATCACGGATCATTCTCACGAATACCGAAGCCCGCAACGCCGGTCGATCTTCCACGACGACGAGCGGCACCCAGCCCAAGCCAAAGGTGGCTTGCATTACTTCTACCGAGGCTGCAACACCAAACGAGGGTGAAGTGTTGGGAGCTGCCCGGGATGGTGGCCGGCCGCGCAACAACCACGGCCGCGACAAGACGAAGGCTCAGTCCACCTCTACACCGAGCACCGGATCAGCCGCCGACAAACCTTGGGCACAATACGGACTCTCGGCGAATTCCTATAGCACGCGACTCAAGTACCGTTATTGCCTTTGGTGCAACAGCACCATCCACGATGCTGCACATTGCCCCACCAAGGGGAAACCCCGTCCGGGAAAG